GAAGCCTTAGCTTTCCCAGGAGCCCGCCATCCAGGTACTGACCAGGCTCACAGCTGGTGAGCTTCACCCACTTCAACAGCAAACACCTCACTTGCAGAATCATCGATCAGGTGAGTCTCCTTGTTTTGAGCAGCTGGTTAGGGCTGAAAGTAGTAATCTGAATATTGAGGTAAACGAAAAATTATTATTATTACAAGTAATTATTATTATTATTATTATTATTATTAAGTTGGAATATTTACCTAAGGCTGTTTGTAGAGTTCCTGGGAAAGATAACACTGTGCTGGATGGTGGCTGTCAGATGAAAACGCAAAAGCTACAAAAAAAAATCGGAAAGCTTCGATTGATCGTTAGTTATCGTCTTCTGTTATATCGACAACTCTTGACATGGAAACGACTGAGAAATTATGCACTCATCTGAGCAATGAAATGTGCAAGTAGAAGTGGCATTTTTCTACGTCCACGCCTCCACGCAAACATTATAGTATCTACGAGCGCATTGCTTGCACTACTTTAACACTGCCAAAACATTCATTAATGTTCTACCCACAGGAAAAGATTTAAGTAGGTAACCCATTTATATAACCTCTAGCAAGATAGTTTTACTTGATGACGGTTGATATAGCAGAATATCACTTACACTCTATAACGCTGCAACATTAAATTTGTCTTGTCACAGCAGTGACCAGATATACAGTAGCATACAATTTATTTTTGGACGCTTCTACATCTGAAAACAGATATCGTGCGGGTTTTTCTTTTTAGAAATAGCGACCCGTTCTGAGAATTTTAAAAAAGCGAAAAAAAAAAAAGTCGAAGCGAAAAAAAAAAGTTTTGTAGTTTCAGAATCTGAGACAAAGCAAAAATAAAAATAAAAAAGACAAATACAGAAAAAGTTTTTTTAAAAAAAAGATGATATATAGGAACGCAGGACCGTTATTTTCAGTTTCCCGTTGTTTCTCTGCCTCATCCGGCGCTCGAGGAGTTAACGGCCCCTCAGTGCGCGAGACTGGGCTATATGAGGGTCACGTGACGCCGCACGGACCCGGCTCGTTCCTTGTCTGAAGACGCCAAGATGGCGGCGAGCAACTATTACGGATTCACGCATGGTGCCGGCCCGCAGTACAGGTAATGTAGCCGCTGGCGAGGGGAGGGGGGCAGCCCTACCGAAGCTACGCGGGACGAGTTATCGGCTGCTCACGGAGGAAACAAGGGTCTGAGACATGTGGTTCGGGCAGGGGGAGGCAGATAGGGGGGAGAAAAAGGCCATCAGCTGAGCGGAGCGGTTCGCTTGCACGCTTCATGAGAAATAACCCTGGTTATACTGTGTAGGTGGTTAAACTGCAAACCTCGCCGGCCTCGCACCAGTCTGACAGCCGGCGACCACATCGGTGCGAGCTGTCGGCTTTACCCGCGCTGCGCGCTGGCTGCGGGTGGGAGGTGTTGTCATTTTTAAATGGGGGAAACTTCGTAAAGAACCGCCCTTCTCTCTCTTGCAAAAACGGCAAAATGGCGGTAGGAGGGTGCATGAATTGCACCCTGCGGCGGGGTGGGGGGGGCATTCTTTTAGCTAACAGGACTCTAATTAGAGTTGTTTTCCCCTCAAGCTGCTAGGCGCAGAGGGGACGCCTACAGAGCGTGGAATGCCTGCTGTGTTCTCGGAGTTGTTTTCTGCAGTTGTAGGTTGGGTGCGTCATGACACCTCACTGAATCTGGATTCTAGGTGACAACACAGCAGGTGCCGGCTGTGGTTCCACTTTTCTGTTACTTTTTGCCTGTGCTTGCGGAGGAGGGGGGGTTCGTTCGGTTCGTCCCGCTGCTCCCTGCGATGATGTCCACAGTTAGGTTGTTACGTCATGAGATGCGCTTGCAAACAGGAAGATAAACGGCGTCTTCACTGCTCTGGCTCCTGTCTCTTTCCACCTGTGAGCTGTAAAGCCGGGGGGGGTTATATTTAGATAACGCGACTAGTTTGAAGATTGACATTGCATGATACGGGTTGCCCACCGTTCTGCGCTGCGGTCCCCAGGTCTGCCCCGGTTTCGTGCGCTGAGCCGGCTGGCTTTGCCTGTACCAGAGACATGGCATTTACATCCTCGCATAAGCTCGGACCTTACGGGCTGCCCCGGCTTTCTACACTTATTTCACCTGCCCTAGGTCTTGCTTAAATCGCATCGATAATGGCTGCTGCCTTCCAAAAACCACGCCCGGCTGCTGTTTGCATTCTAGTGGAAAGGTTTGGAGTTTGAGCTCTGCACAAGGTGGGTGTCCATCCCTGGTGCTGGACGGCCAGCAGGTTTTCATTCCAGCTGAGCTCTGGACAGCCTGTGTCGGCTGCTTACTGCGGCCAGTGACAGTCGGACCGATTTAACAGCTTCTGCCAGCTCTTCAGGTGCGCGACAGCCTGCAGGTGCTCTCCGGCGTCGGGCTTGGACACCCTGGCTGGTAGCGCAGCTGGACTGGTTGGACACAGGGGAGCGCTGTTCCTGCCCTGGCGGGCACGGGTGAAGTTTCTGATGTGCAGGTGACTTGCCTCTATGGCTCTGTTCACCTGCAGCTGACTGATGGGCTACCTGCTGCGTTCAGGGATGTTATCTGACCCAGATAAGCTAAGCCATGCGGCCTTTCTCCTCTGTTCCCCTGCTCCTTTAAGGGCACAAACTTGGCACTTGGCGTTCAGCTAGCTGTGGTGGGGATAACTGCTTTAATGATTTCGGTATAGCAAAGCAGCAAGACCCTTTGATGTTAAAACCTTTGCTTAAGTAGCCTAAACCTCCCTTCAGCTTCCTGAAATGCCCAATGGAAGAAGCCTCTAAACAAGAGATCTAGCATTTGAATGCAAGATGGTCTCTGAATATCCAGTGTGCTCCTTTTTCCTAAGTTGAATTTTATTCAATGTGATTAGCTGATCAGTCGTGTATATATTGGAATAATTAATAATTGTTTGTAGATTCTTTGAGTGGTCGCACTATGGCAGTGACCTCTCATTAACCTCTTGGCAGTAAATTCCTCTGGCTCAGGAACAGCAGGGGTAATTCCCTTTTGTGCTGCTTAAATTAAGCCATTAATACATTTTTAATTCTGTGGTAGATCTCATGTTCCCATCGTCTTATGATTAATTGCTTGTTGCTTAGCCTTTATCTGCAGTGCCATTTTTTCTGACCTCTTTTGTTCCTGCTGGACAGACTTGCAAGAGAGCATGGCGGCAGGAATACATGTATAAATCTATCCTGCAAATCTATCTAATCACACAGCTAATCACTATCTAATCACACAGCTATCTGTGATAGCTGTCCGTGTATATCCCAATCAGGAAGTTAGGGCCCCAAAGTTGTTCTAGAAGGGAAACATTTCTTTCCCTAATAAAATCGAACGTCTTCCCAACCTTGCATAAAGGAAACTCTGTTTGTAGTTACTAAAAAGTTTTTAGATGTGAAGATTAAATGGCATCACACGTCTAAGTGAGTTTGTTTAGTTCAGGCTTATTAAGGTTCAAACGTCTTTGCTCCAAGGTCCTCGGTAGTTAGTAAAATGTACTTGGTCTGTGTGGAAAACGGGAAAGATGCTGGCTGGATCAACCTGTCCTGACCTTGCCAGCTGACCGTCGGCACTTTGGCTACATGCGTGGGTATTGATTAATTGATTGGTATTTGGCACCCATCAGTAGCTGGGCACAGAGCAGGGTCCGTTATTCTGGCCCCTCAGGTTTTGGAAAGGTACGGTGGAGCTGCAGTTTGTGGATGAAATTTTCCAGAAAAGAGAAGTTCTCCAGCAATGACAGATGTATGTGCTGGACAGTGTGCGTCTAGCAGTTTCCTTTCTGGTGTCCAACTGATAAATGAGCATCTTATAGCAAGAAGCCCTTTAGAGAATCTTCACTGCTAGAAGTCGGAGCTCTTCCAGCTTATTTTGCATATAGGTGGGCGATTTGATAAAACATCGTGTATGTTTTGCTTCATTTCCCTTTTCATATGTGCATATTGTTTTTCTTCTGTTCTGGGGTATTGAGAAATTTTGTAAGAGTGCATTACTTAGTTATGTGAAAGCAGAGGTTATAGGCTTTATGTTCAGTTCTGTGGATATTCATAGAACCTTTTGCACTGCTGTTATCATAGTGATGCTTTGGTTAAACTGTTTCATTAGAAACATGCACCTGTACTGTAAAGTGTATTTCAAGGCATGGAAAAACTGACCTCTCTACTGACTAGTGCAAAGCATTTTCACCTTTGCTGCGTGTTATCTAGTTAAGGGCATTCAAATGAGAGGACTTAGTTTTCATGCAGAGTGCATCACTTAGCCTCTCCTGATGTGTAAAATGGTGAGTGAACTAAATTTTAAGTGCATGTGCGCTCTGCAGACTGCACATAGCCAGAAGCATTAGTCTAAATGCAGCAGCTAGTTCATTTATAGATTGTTGGCGTGTTTTACTTGGTAGTGTTGTTCTAACTCTCAGTCATTTACACTTTTGGGGCTTTGCCAGGAAGGTGGCCAGAAAAGCTCAAATAAAAGCCTCCCTGTTTTATTGCCTCCCCCAGCAGAGTTAATTGATTGCACAACTGAATGAACTTGCAAAGGGTTCATCCTGCCTGACTTGTCAATCGCTTCTTGTTGTGCTGCATTGTAGGGTTTTTGGAGAAGGAAACTCTTAAAGTTGTTTCATGTGATATAGGTATCTAGTAACCCGCAGTTACTACCCGCCCTTGAGATGTCGGGTTTAGTTAATAAAAAGAACAGCCGTCATCTTGGTTTTTCAGTTAGATTTGATTCACTTCTAGTTCAGCTCCATCATGGCTTCTCCACTTTGCTGGTCAGTATGGTTTTTGTGGCCTTGTCACCTTGTTTCTCGCTTTCATCACTCCTCCTCCTCGCCTCCCGCAGTGCCCAGCCCGCCCCGGCCTATTCTCACCCGACGACCGCCAGCTACACGGCGCAGCCCGCCCCCGGCGTGGCCCACGCCGTCACCGCCTCGTACACGCCCGCCGCCGTCCAGTCGGCCGCCCCCGCGGTGTCCGGCGCCTACCAGGGCTACCAGCCCCACGCCGGGGCCGACTATGGCTACGGGGCCCGCCAGCAGGAGGCCGCGCCCCAGCCCACAGCTGCGCTGCCGGCCTACCAGGTATATCCTGAAATGGTCAGTCCCCGTCCTCTCTTCCCGATCTGCTTCCTCTCCGCCGGGGAGTCTAGCCTAGAAGGGCCCGCCTCGGCGTGGAGCCGTAATTGAGGTTGTTTCGCGGGAAGGTGGCTTGGCCTTCTGCCAAAGAAACATCTTGTGCTGGATGTGGTTTCTGGTTCTTTGGAAGAAGATGAAACGCATTACGTCCTAAGTCATTGTTTGTTTTCGTTTCTCTAATGCCCTGTAGTGTGATGCAATGCAGAGATCTGGGATATGAGCTGGCAGTAACTTTGTGGAAGTCCTATTGCATTGACAATAGGGAATTTTTGTGCATCAAGAGCTCATACGTAGATAACATATGAAACAAGAATGCTATGCAACAGGAGTACAACACCATGATACACCATTCATTAGGGGCGGTGGCTCTGTGGCTCAGGATCTGCGCCTGTGGCTGGAAGGTTGCTGGTTCGTATCCAGCGGCCGGCAGAGGAATCCTACTCCTTTGGGCCCCTGAGCAAGGCCCTGAACCCCAACTGCTCCAGGGGCGCCGTATAAATGCCTGACCCTGCGCTCTGCCCCCCAGCTTCTCTCCCTGTCTGTGTGTCTCATGGAGAACAAGTTGGGGTATGCGAAAAGACAAATTCCTCATACAAGAAATTGTATAGGGCCAATAAAATGATCTTATACAAAACATCTAACAACAATGCTCAGTCAGAACTCTTACCAGGACTGTAAAATAAAAAAACAATTAGCTTGAGAAGTGTCTGAAAACAACTACAGTAATAAGATCCCTGTCTGCATACAGTCTTTTCATTGTTCAACAATTTAATGCTTTTTGGTATAAAGGAAGTAAATGATCTCTTAATTTCCTGCTGAAACTCTCCTACCAAGAGAATTGGAGGGTATATTTAAAAAGAGTGGATGAGAGGGGTCATCTGAGGTTTAATGTGCAAGATTGTGTCGCTCTGTTGGACGTGTTATTGAGTCCAAGGATGCGCTAGTAATCAGTCATGATCACTTTGTTCAACTTTTTTTGTTCTACAAGGTACTTTGCACATGACTTTGTCCATAGCTGTCAAGGTGGTTATGGCTGTGTTTTTTTTTGGATCTGCTATACTGGTTCTGAAATTATTTAGGCTTAAATGAAAATTAAATGTATTTTAATTCAGTCTGTGCGGCGTTAAGGTTTCCTCCGGTTCTTATTATGCTCATAGTTAAATTATCTAGTTGATTTATTACAGGGTAGTAGTTTTCCTTTTTTCCTTGCTATTGCATGCGTTGATTAAATTCCTTGTATGATTTACTTAGTGTGTGGTTATATTTTCATAATGAAATAAAAATTGCAGGACAACTACAGCTATGGACGGTCTACGCCTGCGGCAAGTTATGAGAATAAGCAGTACTATCAGACGAGCGCAGCTCCTGCTCCGCGCCCAGCCGCAGAATCGTACTACCAGACAGGTGAGCTCCCCTCCGGGGAAGGTGAAGTCGTACACTGCGCCTCGCGTTCTTTTCATGGACTCCGAGCTCCTTGCCTTGATTTCCCAAAGTTGGCGTTCATTGCAAATGAGCTTCGAAACCATGCAGATGACTCTCGGCATGGTGCACTGTGCTCTTCAGACGTGGGTTCTTACTCTTTGTAACCACGATTGTTATTTTAATCTTTCCTGGGAACTGGGGGGAGTTCTTTCTTCAGTCCTCCCTTTTATGAATGGCCTCTTAGCAATTTAACCTTCTCTACGGAAGGTTTTGTATTTCTGGGGGGGGATTTGTGTGATATTGGATATCTACTTCCAGGCACGAAGGGTGGTTACAGCCAGGCAAGCAGCGGATACAGCCAACCCCAGCCCCAGAGGCAGGTCACTGCCTTAAAGCCGATTGCTCCTGCCAGCTCTGTCTCAACCACCTACAACATCTACCCTGTGTCCACCAGCGTTCAGCAATCGGCCACCCCCACGTCCATCGCTTCCTACTCTCCAAGCCCCTCCTACAACTCCACCTCGGCCACTTCATACTCCGGTAAGGAGGCAGGTTCCCTGTAGGTGGCGCAGAGCCTTCCGAGCGTCTGGGGACTGGCTATCCGGAGCAGAGTTTAAGGTGCATTTGCACTGCCATTTCTGATCCGGATCAAATGTTCTGGGAGATCCGGTCCTGCTCAGCAGTGTGGCATTTGCAGTATATGCCACCCTGGCCAAGCCAGCTCTTTGTGTTCCGATGAGGGCTGTGCGTGCGTAGAATCAGAAATCTTACTGTAGCAATGTACTGCATCGTACCTCTGGAAAAATGGAACACCCAACGCGGTGTGCACACTCCCATCTCCTTGAAAGCAGATGGGGGGGAAAAATGTATATTTCTTTGCAATAAGGAAAGAAGTATTTAAACTGCCTTTTGCCTCTGTTGGATCGAATGTGAAACCAAACACCACTGCGTTACAAGGCAGGCTGGTAATTAGTCCTTCATATATTTGCACTGAATATGATCCTCAATAGTAATGGCAGTATACTACATATGCGTAGTCTGCAAACTGCCCTGTGGTCTTGAACAGCCTCAGTTGTAGTTGTTTACTATATTTTGCAGTTGTATATAAATAAGCCTCTTGTTTTTTCTTCACACTAACCTTGCAGTCCAGCCAGGTTATTTCCTGCTTGGTTAAACTTGTCTGCATTTGTGGTTTGTGGTAGTGTAGTTGTCCATTGGGGTAGCTGCTGTATCTGGCCAACTACAGTGGCTAAGTAAGGTTTAGGCCTGTTGTCTACAGCCCTTGTCTTGTGTCTTCTGGTTCTCAGTCCAGCAAAACTATGCATGATGTTAAGTGAGTCAGTCAGCTGTTTAATTTGAAGGAGTTCGTGCTCTTTAGCTTTCTGCTTGTTGGATATTAGAGTACCTGTGACAGCCGCAGGACTGTATGGGACTAGTCCCTTGTTCTGTGCCTGGTATTTTAGAGTCCGTGGCCAGGATTAAAACATGACTGGTCGTTGAACGTTTTTATTTTTAGTAAGGAGGACCAGAAGATGTCTGATCCTGAAGTACTTGCTGACTAGTCCTACTCGGTATGTTTCTGTGACATGTCACGACAGCCCCTTTTTAGTTAGCTTAACGCCAGGACTCCAAAAAAACAAGAAGAATGGTTTGGAATTTGTTTCGGTCATCCGTGCAAGACGATCCTAAATGTGCCACAGGATGATGATGATGATGATGATGTCCACTCACCTGACATGGCTTCTGCTTCCCCCCTCTGTCCTTTCCTACCTCAGGCTCGAGCTATTCCACGTATGACACCAGTGGCTACACCTCCACCCCTTCGTACTACCAGCCCCCCCAGCAGCCGCCGCCCCCCCAGCAGCCGCAGCCCCAGCCACCCCCCCAGCAGCACCCCCCACAGCAGCAGCAGCACCCCCCGAAGCAGCAGACCAGCTCCTCCTGGAGCAACGCCGGGAGCAGCATGGTCACTAGCCCTGGCCC